TGTGTGTCTGCCTTTGTAGTTTTTTTTCTCTCTTTCTCTCCATTCTATTCTTTCATCATCCTCACTCTTGCCTTCTTCCTATTTTCTCTTTCTTTTCATATTTTCATTCTCCTTCTAATCTGTTCTTGTAACTATAATTTTCTATAATTTCAACATAATATATTTTCCTCCAGTCCAACCATCACCCTCATGCACTTCCATCACCACGAGTATTATTACCCAGTCACCTCTTAATATTAAATCAATGGACGGTGTTATATCAACCCTAATCCCCCCCCAAAAAAAAAATAATAAAAAAAATAAAATAAAAACTGCCGTACTGTAAAAACTTCCATTGAACTATAAAAAAATATTTAAAATTTAATACTTTCGAAATGGTTGTATCCCATATTATTAGTGTTTTTACGTTTTATTTATTTTAATTTATTTTGCTGCATCGACTGCAAACTCTCAGTGCTAAATTATTATTTCTTATGCTAAAATTTCCCACTGTGTTCATCCCTACATATAATATTTTATTGTACATGTCGCTTTCACTGTTTCATGTATAAAATAATACACTGTGTGGGATGCTGGCCATTATTGTATTTTTTTTTTACTATTCATTTTCGGAAAGTAGATATTCGATTTGGATTCCATGAAATTTCTGCTTAACCCCTTAAGTACAGTGACCGAGGCTTCTGGTCCGTGTATATCACTGTCTATACCACCTCCAGCCATAAAACCTCCTCGGCAGTGACTTACCCCTAGTGACTACAATGTCTTAACCTCTCGAATACAATGACTTTAACCCCTTGTGTACGTGGGTCTGTCTGTGTGGAGTAGAATCGTTTGGGGATAATCCCTTGAGTGTGAAGTTATTAACCCCGAGTACTATGAATTAACCCTTGAGGACGATGTCTTAACCCTTTCAGTACGAGGAGATTGTACCCAGAGTTTAGTCGCTGCCTGAGGGACGGACACGATAATAGTGATGATAATGATGGTGTGACGTTAAGAGTAATTAGCTTTAGTAGTGACGACTTTCTTCCTATGGTTTTTTTTACATCTTATTCTACATCACAAATACAAGTTATTATAATAATTCATCTCCATTATAATTATTGTTGTTACTTTTTTTTCATTTTTCAATTACTTATTTATTTTCTTCGTCATACTTTTTACTCTTATTCATTTTCTTTCTCCATCGTCATCAGTCTCGTCATTTTCCTTCATATTGACGACTGTATCGGCCTGACAAGTTTACAAGTGGAAAATCAATCATGACACATACAGAGCGGTTTCAATAATATTTGTAGTATTTATAGCACGGACTAAAAGGAATTTATTCTTATCAAATATGTATATCCACATACCATTCACAGTACACCTTTCATTTCAAAAATATTATTCAACAAAATATTAATACAAACTAAAATGATATATTAATATTATTATTATTAATATTATTATTAATATTATTATTATTATTATTATTGTTATTATTATTGTTATTATTATTATTATTATTAGTTATTATTATTATTATCATCATCAGAGAGGCTTCATAAAAATCTAAACTCGATATTATTTTGTTGTTTTGTTACGATAAATGGAAATTTGGCCCAGAGTCAGAAGAGCTTTGTCAATAACATGTTAAAACTCCAGTCAAAGTCATGGAAGCCCTGGAACTATTTTGCTAGATCTTTACTCGCAGCCTGTAAACTTTAACCAATACTTTGCTGACATTTTGCACAAAGTCAGGAGAGCAATGTCAGCACTCTACTTAAGCTTAAGCTCTAGAAATTAGCGTTGAGTTGTGAGAAGCAGCTCTTGAAGGCGCGGCAACTTCTTTCAAAGCGTCTCCAAGCCAAGACTTCAGAGACAACTCTGAGACTAACTCTCTTTTGTCCAGCCAACGAAAATTTGTATAAGTGCACAGCTGGCATTTTATGATCGTGAAGACTAGGAAGGACTTGTGGATCTTTATTTAGCTTTTCCTTTATAGTATTTCTTTCTGATGATCCTTGTTCTACTGCTGAACACGTCAATAATATCGTCCAGTATACCCAATGAAAGTGTTCTAAAACTTTCCCTTCGTCATAAAATTATTTAATTCTTACCTATGACAATGCTGTAATTAACTTGAAAAAGGTTTATACAGCTATACTATTAAACACCTGAGTCACTCATAGACACTGAGCAACTAGCTAGACAAATATAAGAGTTGACGTCAAAGGTGTTATTAAGTTATGCAAATCAAACCCTGCATAATAGATGAGCCAGCGTACAGAATACCCCAAATAAGAGTCAACTATTCTCGTTCACCTTTAATACATTCACCTTTAACTTTAGTTGCCATACGTTCATTCATTCCTCTCAACCCACTTCATGGTTCAGTGTTTCCACATTCTCTTCATCTATTTCCTCAATTTTTTTCCCTCAAACTCAACCCCGCAGTAAGATGTGATGAAACTGGAGATACCTAGAATTTCTACCCTAAGAATTAAATAAAGAAAAATAAATAAACAAATAAACAAATAAATAAGTAATCAGGGAAGCTTTAAATGTTAACAAGGCTCCAGGCCAAGGTAAGGTTCCTTCTCTTGTGCTTAGTCTAAAGTCTAAGAATAAAAACAAAAGGCTGTCAAGTTTCGCATCACAAAAAAAGGTCAGCACATATATCTATTAACACAGATCATTTACACTTCAGACCTAAGCACAAAAGAGCAACATGTTGAAATTGCAATGCATCCTTTGTGTATTGTGTAAACATTCAAAAATTAAGAAGAGTCGAGCTTGACTTAACGAGCGTGATGAATAGAACCAACTAGGCTTCCCGCATAATCTAGCTCACACAAAGAACGCCAGGACTAATTTGGCTAATTTTCTTCCCTTTCTTTTTTTATTAGGTATTTATTTTTACTGTGTCCACCTGCCTGTCTTAGTATCTTGTGCATTTATATTCATTATTTATTTTGTACTGTCTTACCTCCTCATTTTATGTTCGTAAGGTTCGCTACTTCAGATTCTTTATCCCTATTACTGTTTTTTAAATTTCTCTTTTCTAATCTCTCTCTCTCTCTCTCTCTCTCTTGTAAAGGTAATCCTGCATCAATGATTCAACACAACCTTCAGCGTCAAGTAACACAGGAAACGAGAGACCAACACCAAGCGATGACCGCAAGAAAGAATAATAAAATGATCTTCCTGGTGTTTACTCTTCTCACATCACCAGACTTTATCCCGGTTCGCTTAAATCATGTGGCACTTCTTGCCAATCGTCTTGAACCTTTGTTTGATAGAAGCATGAAAGACGAGATCAAAGAAAAGTTCAGTACTTTAGATGAAAGCAAACTTCAACAACATGGAGTGTCTTAAAACTTGTGTAGTTCAGTTATACATCCCCAGTATCTTAAAGCCGCTGAATTCCTTGCGCTCGTAAATATCTAAACGTGGCTCAGAATGTCATAGAAGTGCCACATCTCCTCACCTCTACAGTCTACAACACTATATTTTCCCAAGAGGTCCAGTTGTCGAGTAGAGCCAAACAATCTTCCACAGGCTAAAGACGATGATATAACCGAGACGTGGTGGATTCTGGTATGTCGTATGTAGGGATTCCCACTAGCAAAATAAAAGGTTTAAAGGAAGTAATCTGCAATCCACAACACAAGGATGCACAGACTTCTATTTGGAATCTTTTCCTATGAGCTTTCCTCAACAGTGAAATTTTTAAGGTGCAGAACTACGAGTACTTTTTTCATCATACATCGGACGACCTACCGTGTGCGAGGCAGTGTGAAGGACCACCAGAGAGGATGTCAGGGTGATTAGCACCTACCTGGAGTAACAAGTGGCAAATTTAGTGAAGGTCAGCGTCAAGTGACTCTTGGGGGCGAGTGAGCTGAATAAATTAAATCACAGATAACCCTTGAGGCTAAGAATGAGACTTAATGTTTCGCATATCACTGTGTTACTACATCTGACTCTTTGTCCCTTCTAACTGTCTCTAACTCTCAATTTATGTATTTCTGGTGTTGAATAGTTTTCTTCTGTTTTATAATTCAATGTCAACCTTACTCTTGTACATTCGTTATATTCAATTTGAGTAAAATTTAGTATTGATATTTTATTATAATGGTTTACGTCCTTACGGTTCGACAGAAATACAGAAAAATGAAAATTAAACAAAATATATTTAGCTCTCTATATCCCTCTTCCAGCCAATTCACCATTAAGTTTAGTTCATTTTTCTATTAACTGTATACAAATTTGAGTTTAAGGAAAGAAAGGAAACTCGGTCGGACGTTCTCACTGACGGATTGAACAAGTCTTTGTGTATTCATTAATAGATTCACTGAGAGGGAAATATTTTCTCCGGGATGGTTCTCAAAAAAAAATCATGGTTAATAGCTAATAGTCGACCACATGACCTTTATGACCGTGACCTGGGGATATGACTGACCTTAACCAACTCTCTCCCCTCCTGATGCCTCGACCCTTCAATACGGCAATATATAAAGTTATCAAATTCCCCCCAACTTGTCCGCCACTCTTCCTGTGCTCCTGTAGATGTATAATGGCGTCTTAACGAGGCCGCCTCCATTCCGCCAGCACACTCAAGCTCGTGCCATAAAACAACGCCTGAACGAGCTTTCAACAACGCCTGGCTTTTCCCTCAACCTCCAAAATGAAACGGTAATGGAAGCTACCTTAAGAGCAAGGAGCTTTCAACCTGCCTTCAACCACCACTGGCACCATTGTTAAGGTGTACAAGCGTGTGCTCTCTCTCTCTCTCTCTCTCTCTCTCTCTCTCTCTCCCTCTGGACGCTGGTGCAAGTCAGGGCTCCGAGGAACTACTGTACCTGAGTAATAACGATGAATTGTTTGTTACCTGTCTGTTATTAAGCTATACTATGTCTATTTCAGGAGTCAATCTGTGGCACAATTATCGCATGGCTTTGTACTAGAGTTTCAGGACTCCTTCACTTTGAAGTCACTATCAGGAATCCTTCACTATGACGCAACAGTATCAGGACTCCTCCACCTTGACGTCACTGTATGAGGACTCCTCCACTATGACGTCGCTGTGTCAGGACCCCTCCACCTTGACGTCACTGTATGAGGACTCCTCCACTATGACGTCACTGTATCAGGACTCCTCCACTATGACGCCACTGTATGAGGACTCCTCCACTATGACGTCACTGTATCAGGACTCCTCCACCTTGACGTCACTGTATGAGGACTCCTCCACTATGACGTCGCTGTGTCAGGACCCCTCCACCTTGACGTCACTGTATGAGGACTCCTCCACTATGACGTCACTGTATCAGGACTCCTCCACTATGACGCCACTGTATGAGGACTCCTCCACTATGACGTCACTGTATCAGGACTCCTCCACCTTGACGTCACTGTATGAGGACTCCTCCACTATGACGTCGCTGTGTCAGGACCCCTCCACCTTGACGTCACTGTATGAGGACTCCTCCACTATGACGTCACTGTATCAGGACTCCTCCACTATGACGCCACTGTATCAGGACTCCTCCACTATGACGCCACTGTATCAGGACTCCTCCACTATGACGCCACTGTATCAGGACTCCATCAGTGGCCAATCACAGTCTAAAGCAGTTACCCCAATTAGTCTAACTCAACAAACTCCTGGCTTAACTTCCGGGTTGTTCCTCTCTCCTACGGGCTTCGTGTTGTTGTTCCCGTCACTATTCATTACTTACACTGTGGAAATCTACTTCTCCTGGCTAGCTGTTCACCTGTCATATAAAGTTGGTAAGTTATTTCACCAACTAATATGATACCGAAAAGTGCATTGCCATCCTGCATAGATTAGGAGAGAGGGAAGAGAAAGAAAGGCACAGGGAAGACGGAAATGAGAGACAGAGGGAGAAGGAAAAGGGAAAAAAGAGAGATAGGGAGAGAGAGAGAGAGAGAGAAACCAGACGAAAGCGTACATCAAAAATGTCTCGCCAACACCATGATCACTGGATGTCATTTGCTCATACAAGTTTGAGACGCTTGTAGCCATTCCATCCGGCCCGAAACCTTTCAATTCCTACCACAATATGTTTGATCTCTCAATGTTGCTCCATCAACCGGCTTGCTCCGCCGTTTACCGGAATCATTTTGTTCACTGTCAATAATTGTGCCCTTCACTGTAGAAATTTTCCGGTCACTGTGAGGGGAATTTACCGAGAAAACAACAACTGAATAACAGAATGGCCGACTGTACATTCCGACTTTCACCACAAACTGCAAATTTTATCGCTCACTGGAAACGTCAACCTTCACATGTATTTTTCGTTCGCGTGAAAGCTAAACGGCTGTCGAATGTACAGGTCAACAATACTGTCCTCTGGGGGTCAAGCTATTCACGGCTGCTAGTGGTGCTATCCGTGGTTGATCAGTCCGACACCAAAAACCATGCTGTATCCTTGTCTCGTGTTGTTTATCGTCAACAAACTGTGTCCTTCAGTCTATTTATTAAAAGTGAAGCGTCTCTTTCTTTTATTTATGTTTCTGTCCATCCGGCTGTGAATCAGTTTATCATTTTATCTCTTTCTCGTTGTCTGCCTGTCTCTCTCTCTCTCGCTCTCTCTCTCTTGCTGTCCGTCCATCTCTGCCTGTCTGTCTGATTTGTCTCTCTTTTACTCTCCACCCGTTTCTATTTCTACCTTTTTCTCTGTCTGTCTGTCTATGTCTGTCTGTCCTCTTTCTCCCTCCCTACTCCGCTTGTTAGCCACCATCGTCGAGTCCAGTGGACAAAGCGTTTCAGGGACTTCATCTTGTGTATGCAGCATCAGGCAACGTCCAGCACTACAAGGTCTAAGCTGGCCATTGAGACGAGCAGCCAGGAAGACCCAATATTCTGGACCGAGATGTGACTGGTAGGAAGGCCAACATTCTGGTCCAAGAGCGTACGGGGTAACTAGTCTCTGGAGGTCCATGGTGTTTGAACCAGACAAGAAAGATGTCACGCAGAGCCTCAGACCGACATTTCCATAAGCTAAAATTATTGAACAGCATATTAACGCCTGATAGAATTTTTTTCTACGGTATGGCTGAACATGATGGTGATAGAAGCAAGAGGAATGTGGAGTGTTAGACATTTTGACTTCTTTTTGGGAGTAGTTTTTCTTCCGTTTTATTTTTAGTTTCTCATTGACACGATGTGATATACCCGACATAGTGAGGTAAGATGGATGTGAGACAAAGGTTGACTGGGGGGAGGGACAGGACTCTCGTTGCGTTTTGGTCTAAGATGTGCTGATAGGGCGACTGATAATTTGGTCTGTCATGCGTTGGCCAATATCCCAGTTTGAGATGTGAGAACTGGTTGGTCATTCCGTAGACTGACATATGTCGGCAGGAGAACCAACGACTTAAGATGTGTGTCAACTGATCAGAGATATGGAAGGTGGTTGGCTTTATTCTGTTCCGGGTATTTTGGTGGGTGCAGCTTCCGTAATGTGTGTTTAGTGTAGATGTGTTACTCTGTCTTGTCATCGTTTATATGAGATTGGCAACAAAATCCTTATAGCAAGTTGGCCAGTTCTTATTGTGTAAAGTGAGAGATGTGTTAGTTGGAGAGTGCTAATTCATTAATCTGTGATGTGTTGGACCGGTGACATAAACTTGTCTTTGATGTTCATTTAAGACCATCAAGAGCTGCTTTGTGATGTGCAGCTTAAGGCTTCAAGTGCAAATTCAACGAGATTCTCTAAAGTGAGATGTGTAGGTAACTGAGCACACCATATTCTTAACCGAGATCTGCAAGAGAGATTCACAGTTTATCCGGAGATGCGCCTCAGTATCTGCTAAAGCCTACTGAAGTTCGAGATGTGTAGTTGGGAGTTAAGTGAAGGTCAAAGATGTGCAAATATCGCCATGACCCTTTCACATATACAAGGTCAAGACACCTACGAGACTTCAGAGGTAAACTCCCCAAGGTCTCGTCCATTCTCCCGTGGAAGCGTTATGAAAATTCCTCCAGGGATTCGGTATGTAGAATATATGTACAACATAATAAACACCCGCTTGAGAATGTAAACATGACAAAATTCGTCTGGGAAATATATTTCTGTAAGTGTAAACAGGCTGCCATGGACAGGAAAATGGGAAATAATAATAATAATAATAATAATGTCTAGGATTCTATTATTCCATCTGGTCGTCCGTGTATAAGTAACTCTCTGACCCGACCCTCGCTACACTCGACATGTAAAATGATGGTCCTCCCAATATGGTTCTAAGGCGGATGAAATTAAGGAGGCGCATTAAGAAACGTAACAAGTACATCATATGCCCGCCAACAATGATCAAAGAGGGAGACTCCAGAGATTTGCCAGTCATCATAAACTCTAGTAGGTGGATTATATATAACTATCTGTGCTTGTGGAGTCGATGAATTTCAGAATGAACATTACGACTCATGTTGTCTCGATAGGGTCGTTAAAATCTTTCGTTCCCGTTTGGTCAGTAATATCACTTAACACTGACGTTTATTTTCCCGTTTTCTGTCTCGAGAAAGTCCAGGCACGTCACTGTCACTTGATTCACTCAATAATGTCTAAAATAACCGTAATAAACACTGGGACAATGTAGTACATCCAAAAGTAAACAATGGAGCACCACACAAAACAAAAAGGAGCCTCACGAGTGAATGAAATATCCTGACTGGCTCGGCTAGGCAAAGTTTAGTTCCGCTAATTTATTGATAAAAATATTCATAAACTTAAGGAAGAATATTACATTGTTCAAATAAAATTTATAAACATTAAAACACAATTTCAAGTGACAAGAACTCAATCAGTTCAGTTCAATCGCAATTACATTTACAGTTTTATCATTTATTCATTTACGTAACACCTACAGAGTTTCTAGGCATATATTACCACGTACGCAAAACAGTCTGAGGACAAAAACAAAAGAACTTACAAATTACAGAACTGAATTAAGCCGGTAATAACTTTTTTCTCTCCTAGGCGACTTAAACGGCAACAATATAACCATCTCCCAATTACTCTCCCCGTTGCCGTTCTTATAATATCTCCCTTAATTCTCCCCACCTCTCCTCCCTTGTCCTCTTCCTATACACCCTCCCTCCCCCAGAATTAAGCCTCCACCCCTCCCCCCCCCTTCTGCCCACCCATCGGGATGTTTACGCGGGGCGACACAGCAACTTGATGGCGACATTCCCCAGGGAGACAGCACACGGGAGGTCCCGGCCAGACCAGTAATGACTACATTTGTCTCTCTCTCAGCCATCACTGTTCATGACTACCCCGCTCTCACACGGGGCCAAATGCAATGGGAATTGTGCCTCCCAAAATTATGTAGATTTTCTTCCTCTTTCACTTGCCTCCAGAGAAAAAAATAATTGCAAATACAGTTGGGATAAAAATGTAAATGACTGGGGTATATATTAGGCAAGAAAAATTAGTCGTTGTTAAGGATAAAAAAAAATATTGTGAGTTGTTAGTGAATGAACCTTCAGTTTCACGTAAACATAACAAGAACAAAAGAAATTTACTGTTGGCATAAAATTAACCAACAAAAAGAAGAAACAATAATGTCAACATGAAGACCGCAAACAAGAAATTGGTGGGCCTATTTATTTTTGGTTCACAAAAAAATATAAAGATGAAAATATAAATATTGTAAATTTACATCTTTAGTGTTGTCTGGTTTAATTAACTATAATTTTGTTGCAATAACCTCCCAAAATATTCTGAAGCGTTGATCTTTGACAACAAATGGCCATGTGGTGGACGGATCCATTAGTCGTGTTAAACTGAGAAAGTCATAAGAGGAAATATATACAGATGAACTTGGTCCTTATTTAGTGACTAACATTATAAATAAATAAAGCACAATTGATATGACTAAAATGATCCAAGTACAGCCATGAATATTCAACTTGAACCAACACAATTTGCATACCTGCCGTGCCATAATGTCTACTGAACGCCAGAGTTGGAGTCATAGTAAAGACACAAGTCTTCACTATACTATCTCACCATGAGGCGCTCCTGCAGCGCTGCCAGTGGATAAAGTTATTTGGTAATCCACGACTTCTTGTCACTGAAGGAATGACGTCTCGTGGTTTCATAACTAAGACGTTGATTCTATCTTTATATTTGTTAAATGTTACAAAATACAGCCAACATTATGTAGCGAGAGCGATTTAATAAAGATATTAAAACGGAAAAGCTGTAAAGAACACACACCTCCCACTGCACTAGCTGAGTAAACCATCTCCTAAGAACTTGTCCCTAAGAAGATTAACACACAGTTCCCTCCCGCAGTTTAGGACCACGGAAGCCCCCAATAGCCTCGAGAGGTTTCTATAAGAATGATCATCAAACACAATCAATAAAAAGTACTTTCCCTCACATCCCTACAAGCAAAATCAAAACCCAAAAGTGAAAATATTCATAAGAATACTCGGCCTCTTACTGTGCCACACAAACAATGTTCCATAGATCCTAAACACTCATGACCTTAGCTCACTATACAAATGAGTGACCAATAATATAATATAAAAAGAATAAGGTACTTCATATAAATTTATTACCTACGAGATCTAAAGCAGAGAGACAAGCGATACATTTCAGGAGAGTAAAGTCCACTTGAAACATTAATAAAATCTGCAGACATTTAGCAAAAAAAAAAAAAAATTTTAATGTCTCTCGTGGGAGGAGAAAATCTCTTAAAGTATATTGTGTCCATCTTTTTTTATACTAGCAGGTACGAAAATTTTAGATCTTTTT